TCGGCGATGGCAGCGATAGGTTGGAGCGGTTCATGCGCGACGTGCGCATCATGTTTGGAGAGTGGTCGAGCTGGCGCAGCTGAATGTTCGGATCCTCGAGGAGCGACCGCTTCGGAGACTTGCGACGCCAGATGACGATGGCGATGATGAGGGCGAGCATGAGTAGCGAGCCGGCGACGCAGATGCCGATCATGAGCGGGAAGTAGCCTGCATCGGAAGGAACGTGTGATGAACAACGGTGAGTTAGAGAGCGCAGGTATACAATGAAGTTCCCGGGGAAGTAGCCTGCAGCGGGAGGAACGTGTGAGAACAACGGTGAGTTAGAGAGCGCAGGTATACAATGAAGTTCCCGGGGAAGTAGCCTGCAGCGGGAGGAACGTGTGAGAACAACGGTGAGTTAGAGAGCGCAGGTATACAGTGGAGTTCCCGGGGAAGTAGCCTGCAGCGGGAGGAACGTGTGATGAACAACGGTGAGTTAGAGAGCGCAGGTATACAATGGAGTTCCCGGGGAAGTAGCCTGCAGCGGGAGGAACGTGTGATGAACAACAGTGAGTTAGAGAGCGCAGGTACACAGGGGAGTTCCCGGGGAAGGAGCCTGCAGCGGGAGGAACGTGTGATGAACAACGGTGATTTAGACAGCGCATGTACACAGGGGTGTTCCCAGGGAAGTAGCCTGCATCGGGAGGAACGTGTGATGAACAACGGTGAGTTAGAGAGCGCAAGTATACAGGGGAGTTTCCGAGGAAGTAGTCTGCAGCGGGAGGAACGTGTGATGTACAACGGTGATATAGAAAGCGCAGGTATACAATAGAGTTCCCGGGGCAGTAGCCTGCAGCGGGAGGAACGTGTGATGAACAACGGTGATTTAAACAGCGCAGGTATACAGGGGAGTTCCCGGGGAAGTAGTCTGCAGCGGAAGGAACGTGTGATAAACAACGGTGAGTTAGAGAGCGCATGTACACAGGGGAGTTCCCGGGGCAGTAGCCTGCATCGGGAGGAACGTGTGATGAACAACGGTGAGTTAGAGAGCGCAGGTATACAGGAGAGTTCCCGGGGCAGTAGCCTGCAGCGAAAGGAACGTGTGATGAACAACGGTGATTTAGAGAGCGCAGGTATACAGGGGAGTTCCCGGGGAAGTAGCCTGCAGCGGGAGGAACGTATGCATGGCATATATAGATTAACAACGGTGAGTTTACAGCGCAAAGGTATACAGGGAGTTCCCGAGTCCAGATTCATCTAATCATAACTATAGTTTAATTATTAGTTCAACGTCATCTAATTACAACAATAGTTTAATTATTAGTTCAACGTCATCTAATTATAAATATAGTTTAATTATCAGCTCAACGTCATCTAATTATAACTATTGTTTAATTATCAGCTCAACGTCTAATTATAACTATAGTTTAATTATTAGTTCAACGTCATCTAACATAATTATAGTGTACCAGCGCGCATATTCGGAATTGTACTACAGATATGAAATTGAACCAGGTGCCTTACTATAGGCACAGCGGTGGTAGTCCACTGGGTTAGCCACTTGGGCTTGGGCTGAAGTAGTTAGCCGTGTCAGCCCTGAACGGCTAGGTTGAACTAGATAGTGATCTCGTGCATTTAAAACTGTATGCATAAATCGAAATTTATATCAATAACTACGTGCAGATATCAAGACTCACTGCAGCCAGCGCTTGCAGTAGCTATATCTGAATCGAAAGATAAGGATTTTCTTACATGAGGCTTCGTCGCTTACGTCTGCTTCCCCACAGTTTGGCACTCCGTCGCAGACAAGTGACGGATCAATGCAATACCGTGTGCGCACTGAGCAGATCTTCCCGTCTTTGCCGATGCAAGTTTCCCCGCCCTCGCAGTAAAATAGTGGACATTCGGCTGTCAAGAGATGACGGGTACAAAATGTTACTTTAATATTTGTTATGAGGAGAATTATTTTGCAGCTGCACTCAGACGACGCCTGCGCGTTATACTGCACTACCCGCATATATACCTGCGCATGCCCACACATACCTAGTCATAACTACACATACCTACTCATACCCGCTCACACCCCACATACCCCACTGTCTAATTTTTGTGGTAATGCGATACACTATAGTGTGATATTCGGCGAAGTAAATGCAAGCCGGATGGCTTATAGACGGTTTTTTGTGCAATCTCCTTAATGATGTTGCCACGATGAAAGCCCATGATATGAGAAATATTATCTAGCCAATTTGCATAAAATACGCATTATGTCGCTGGCAGAATTTCCGTGTGGCGGTTATGCTTTTAACTTATAGTCATTTACCATGAATAAATTGTATGTTGCGTATAAAATAAAACGTTCTATACGTTATTGTGGTTCATCCTTATGGCATGCTTCTGCTACCTACAGACGCCATCAATAGCTCCCATACTCCCTAGGCTACTCCCTACGCGCTCACACACAAGTCTTCACTTCCTCTTCCCTGCCCCGCCATAGACAGTAGTTCTAGTGCCTTAAGCACTGCATACACACCACTTCCCCCCATACACCTCACCTATCGATTGCGTAATATTATATTATCAAGAATATCCTATTTACGTGGATAGAAATGGTTTTACTACACTCGCTAGAAAGTGGCGCCACCTTCTCTTGGCTGCAGTGCATTCCATAAATCACGAGCACAACATTTAGTAGGCAATTTATGAAATGTATTAAATATTGAAAACACTTTCGCGTGGATTAATGAGACTAGTGATGGGATGCTTTGAATAATGAAATAAATTCATTTTCGCAAATTTATTCACCGTTTTTCGAGACTTCTGTCCATACTACTCTGAATCCCTTGTTACCAAGTGCCGATGGCGATGTTTGAAATCTGTAAAAGTCACATGCAATCTTTATTTTCATAAATGCTGTAGCGGAATTATTACACAGATAAAATCGTTTTAGCGCACCTTTTCACGTTTACATGCTATATGTAGCAAAATACAATTCAAGACAGTTCTATGCCAAACAAACTAAGTCTACGTGCATAGATGTATGACAGCGTAGTAAATTTTGACGTCAGTTTTAGTTTTACAGGTAATAAGTTAAATTTACAGAGACCGTTTATATCAGACCGTTTATATTTTACCGTTTACAGAGACGTTATATCATTGCATGTAAGATGTTAAACACACGGCAGTATTCATCACTACCTAATTATAATGAGAAGGGTTTGTTTTTACCTATTCAGCTCTTATAAACGGACATAAATATATATAAATAAATAAATAAATAAATAACCTACTCTTAGATTAATACGATGATTGGTATAGATTGGAACTAAATAAACCATCTTCCCACCGGAATGCTTATGATACTTATGTATAATGCAAGTCAAATAATCGTCCATCTGCTCAGCATCCAGGGCAGAACAAATTTTATTACTGCGAAACGTATTAGAATAATTGCCACTAGTAGCGCCAGACAGCGGTAGATTACCAACGTTTATGCATGCATGCGCACTCTTTATCACGATTGCGTGAAATAAGAACTGTATACAGTACTTGATGAGAACGCGATTGCGCTCCGATTCAATAGTCTTCTCAGCATCTGTAGAGTAATATTGCAGGTCCCCGCAGTACGCTTTCTTGTGCTCGTCGATGTTTCCCCTGTTAACGTAGCCGTCTATCACGGCTAGCTCTGCTTTGTTGCATTCTGCAACGTAATGAGCAACGCGTTATCCTAGACGATATCAAAAGCACACATATAAACCATATGAGCTCGTACACTAACTGTAGCATAGCTCTATCTAAAGGTGCATGTACTCGACTGTTGACATTATCAAGAGCGTATTAAGAAGGGGGACCTATCTTATTTTATTTTACTATTCGTATTACGTTTATTACTATTCTATTTACTATTATTATACTATATTATTTATATTATTATTATTATTATTATTATTTATATTATTTTATATTATTATTATTATTATTATGTTACCATTCGATATACGTTTAGGTGTTTGTACCGTATGCATGCTGTACACTGCGATAGGAAGTAGCGTCATAATTTGTAATAAAGAATTTGTATGCGAATTAGGGCGCTGATGGATATTGGGGGGAACAGGAGGAGGGCATTATAGTGTGTGCGTAAGTGAATTATGTATGTAATTGTGCGTTATATTATTATAAATTATTTTGGGACGTCAGGTATAGGCCTCTAGGCAGAACTGTTAAAGGTGAAATATAATGCAGCAATATTAAATTAAACAGCGACCAACCTATAACATCTC